ACGGGGTCCTTGGACACAGAGGCTACACATCCTTCCACCACAGGCACAATGCTGACTGGCAGCAGGTCTGCCGCTGCAAGGCAGGGACCACTTCTGGAGCAGGGAAGAGAATGGGGATAAGATCCAAGGAGCTTTGAACAGTGCCCAATGCAATGCTCCCCTCTCTGCCAGTCTTTGCAGCAGTTCATCACCACAGGCAGAAAGACCCAGAGCTCACCTATGCCTGTGGTCCCTGTTGTTTCCACCATAGGCAGCAAACCCAGCTAAGACCAGCCATGCCCAGCTTGAGCCCTTCACCCCACAACCCAGAGCTGATGAGCTGTTACTTGTGTCCATCCTAAGACTGAACATCCACCCAGAAAGATCAGGAAGCTAAGCAGACACCATGGAGCAGAGAGGCCTTTGGGAATGTGGGGACTTTGTGAAACTAGCAGGTCTGAGCATGATGAATAAAACATTACTGCATGTACAAAGTGTGATCAAAGATACAGGGATTGTTTAAGAAAAACTGTATTGCAATACAAGACACCTTACGACGAATCCCTTTCAAAATCCTCTCTCTTGCCTCAAACATACTTATGCCATTGTTCTTGCCATTTTCTGCAGCAGTTCTGGAAGTCCTCTTTCATAAGTGTCTTTAGCCGCACTGTTATGGACACCTCAGTGAGCTCAATACGTTCAAAATATTTCCCTTTCATGGTAATTGTGACTTTGAGGAAGAGTTCCAGTGAATGAGGTGGATGAGGACAAAGCCAGCGCCATGTTTTACAAGCCCGTCTTTCTGTTGGATGGCACACAGCAGCAGCATTTGTGTATTTTTGCTTGCACCTCGTAAAAACACTCAGGAAAGAGAACTTCCTGAACTGCTTTAGAAAGTAGCAGGAACATCAACATCCCAAAATCAATAGCTGTCTTGTACACAAATTACAGACTCACTGAGAGAGAAATTAGGGAAACAATTCCTTTCACAGTAGCATCCAAAAAAATGAAGTATCTAGGAATCGACCTAACAAAACAAGCAAAAGACCTGTACACTGAAAAGTACAACACTCTAAGAAAAGAGATCGAAGAGGATATAAGAAAATGGAAAAATATCCCCTGCTCCTGGGTAGGAAGAGTCAACATAGTGAAAATGGTCATACTACCAAAACTGCTATACAGATTCAATGCAATGCTGATTGAAATCCCAACACTATATTTCGCAGAACTAGAAAAAAGAATCCAAAAATTCATTTGGAACCATAAGAGACCTAGAATAGCAAAAGCCATCCTAGGCAACAGACACATGGCAGCGGGTATAACAGTTACCAATTTGAAACTATACTACAAAGCCACTGTGATAAAAACAGCATGGTACTGGCAAAGAAACAGACCTGAGGATCAGTGGAACAGATTGGAAGACACAAAAGCAACTCCAGATGTACTGAGCTACCTCATCTTTGACAAAGGAGCTGACCATCCCCACTGGAGGAAAGATAGTCTCTTTAATAAATGGTGTTGGAAAAACTGGATCTCAACCTGCCAAAGATTAAAACTAGACCCTTATGTCTCACCATGCACTAAATTAAAATCCAAGTGGATTGAAGATCTAAATATTAAAACAGAAAAACTACCCTGGTGTGAATAATCTGCAATAAAACATAAGATCCTAATAAGATTACTGTCATTTAGAAATGAGAAGAAAGGAGCTAAAGGTGTAGGGAAGGTGTGATGGGTAGGGGAAGGGTAATAAGGGAAAAGAAAAAAATGTGAGATAATGAAAAGATGAAAATAAAGTGTTTGTAGATGGGGAGGGGAGGAGGGGGTGAAGGGAGGGCAGAGGTAAGGGGAAAAAATGAGAATCAAGACTTGTCATGTAGAGGTACAAGATCCCAACAATGAATGTAACTGTACCGTATCCCTAAAATGTACCAATAAACTCAATTAAAGATGAAAAAAAACCAGAAACACTAAACTTGCTGGAAGATAAATTAGGCAGAACTCTGGAAGACATTGGCATAGGAAATGACTTTATGAACAAATCCTCAGTAGCATGGGAACTAGCAGAAAGAATCAGCAACTGGGATCTTGTCTTATTAAAAAGCTTCTGCACTGCAAAAAGAAACCATCAACAGAACTAAAAGACAACCTACAATGTGGGCAAAAATTTTCACCAGCTGCTCCTCAGACAAAGGACTATTATCTAGAATATATAAAGAACTCAAAATAATCAGCCCCCCAAATATAAAGACCCAATTCAAAAATGGGCATCTGAAATGAAGACATTTCTCAGATAAAGAAGTAAAAGCAGCAAGTAAATATATGAAAAAATGTTCCACATCACTGGTCATTCGAAAGATACAGATGAAAACAACACTGAGATTCCACCTCACCCCACAAAGAATGGCTGCTATCAAGAAATCACACAATAACAAATGTTGGTGGGGTTATGGGGAGAAAGGAACCCTTTTCCATTGTTGGTGGGAGTGCAGATGGTGCAACCACTGTGGAAATCAATATGGAGATACCTCAAACAGCTGGGACTAGAGGTTCCATTTGACCCAGCCATAGCTCTGCTGGGTATCTTTCTAAAAGAATTAAAAGAATCATATCACAGTGACATATGCGCACCTATGTTTACAGCAGCACAGTTTGTAATAGGTAAAACATGGAAACAGCCCATTTGCCCATCCGTTGGAAACTGGATAAAGAAAATGTGGTTTTTCTGTAAAATGGACTACTCAGCCATAAAGAATGAGAAATTAGAGTCATTCATAGGAAAATGGATACATTTTGAGGATATACTCCTAAGTGAAATAAATAAGTCACACCCGTGTAAATACTGAATAGCTTCTCTGGTGTGAAAAACTACAACAGTACACAAGATCCTAATGGTATAATTGACAATGTGAAATAGGAAGAAAAGGGCTAAAGGTGTAGGGAAAGTGGGAAGGGTAGGGGAAAGGGAATAAAGGAAAAGAAAAAAATATGAGAAAATGAAAAAATGGAAATAAAGTGTTTGTAAATGGGGAGGAGAGGAGAGGGTGAAGGGAGGGCAGGGACAAGGGGAAAAATGAGAACCAAGACCTGTCATGTAAAGGTACAAGATCCCAATGATGAATGTAAATGTATTGTATACCTGGATTGTACCAATAAACTCAATAAAAAGAAAAAAGAAAAGAAAAAAAAAGAAAGTAACAGGAACAGTGGGATGAGTGTTTGAACTGAGGGGAGGATTCTGAGGGGAATGTATTGTATACCTGGATTGTACCAATAAGCTCAATAAAAAGAAAAAAGAAAAGAAAAAAAAGAAAGTAACAGGAACAGTGGGATGAGTGTTTGAACTGAGGGGAGGATTCTGAGGGGGTTTTGTGTCAATGTCTTTTATTGTAATACATTTTTAGAGTTTAAACATTCACTATATATTGTGACCACACATCACATTTAGTACTGTTTATATTTCACTGAAAACAAGGCTCCAGCTTGTTCTCTGAGACAACACTTAACAAGCCCAATTCTGGGGCCTTTAAATAGCAGTGGGGACTTCCCTGTGTTGAGCATGGCCTTGGAGAGCGGATGGCAGGAGGTGTGGCGGATGCCATCGCAAGCGTACCTGTGCCCCACAGAGGAACAGGCACAACATTTCACTCAATGCAGAGCACCCAAAATGAATGACCAGAGAGGCATACAATTAAATTCCTGTGCAGGGACCTAAAAGTCACATTCCTTGTGTAGCCACCAGCTCAGGTGTGAGTTTTCACCTGACCTCTGGCCCAGGTGCTTCTGTGAGCTTTGAGGTCCCAGGAAATCCCTAGCTGGCTTTGGAGAAAAATACCTGGGTGGTTTCCGTATGCAGGTGAAAGTCTGAAAATGAGAGCTGGAGGTGTTAGTAGAAAGAACAGAAGTGGCCATGAGGGCGCCTCCCTGCTCCACTGAGTGCCGAGCACCTGAGAAGACCCGGCTTTGCCACAGCTGGAGTGTGTTCCCTCTGTGCGCACTGCTCAGCGACCTGAGCCGGACCCAGGGGAGCCTGTTGGGTCCTGGGGCCACCCCTTCTGCTTGCCTCTGTGGTGCCTAGGATCATGTTCTTTCTCTTACATTCGTGTTTTGGGATGTGGATCAAAGACCCCCAGCACCTTGGGATGTAACTGCATTTGGAGATAAGGTGCTTAATTAAAACATTAAAAGGAAGTCACAAGGGTGGCCCTGGTCCCTTCTGCCTGATGTTCTTAGAAGAAGAGGAGATGAGGTCACAGACTGCACAGCAGGACCCATGTGAGGACACAGGGAAGAGACGCCCCCTGACCCTTGCTGACTCCCAGAATCTCGGATGTGCCGGAAGTAAACATTTGTGGGTGAAGCCCCCAGGTCCCCAGGCTCTGGGACTTTGCCATGGTGGCCCTAGCAAATGACACACCTGGTTCCTGACGGGGCTGATCTGCTGTTCCTGGTTCATTTTCCATCCCTCAACTCCAGGGATTGCTCTAAAATCCACTGGAAGTTTATTCCTCTGTGGCTCCTATGGACCTCAGAGCAGAACCCAAACCACTGAACCCCAGAGTCCGACACGGAACCTGAGGACTAGCTCACCGAGGTAGGACAGGGCTGCCTGGGACATCTGCCAAGGGCAGTCACGGCATCTCACTGCCCGAGATGTGGTCCCCAGAGCACCTGTGTCGGACCGCTAAGCCGACCTGAGCAGGTGCCAGGGGACCCGAAAGTGTGGCACTACTTCCCCATCTTGACAATGAGGATCAGAGAGTGATTCCAAAGGTTCACGAGTGAGGGACATGGGAGTCCTGTACTTGTCCCCACTGCACCCTGAGGTCCCCAAAGTGGGAATGAACAGCAATAACTCAGAGGCCAAACTTCAACGGAGCTTGTCTCAGCTTGATGCCCACGCCCAGGATGGGAACAGAGGAGGGCTTGGCCTGTCAGCCCTAGACCGTCTCACAAGGTCCTCTGCTGCCCAGCACCCACGCTTTCTACTGCAGCACCCCCAGGAGTCCCCACGGGCTTACCGTGCTCGTCCAGCAGGATGTTGTCCGGCTTGATGTCCCTGGAAGAGAAAACAGAGACGTGGGCCACGTGGTTCCTGGGGTCTACAGAGGGCGCCCTGATGCCCGCCCCGCCAGGTCCCAGATGGGACGGGTGCGTCATCAGGCTAACAGAGCCCCTGGATTCTCACTTTCTTTTCTGGCCTGGAGCCGTAGGCAGATTGTCTGACTATTGTTTTTCCGAAATATATTGAATTTTTGACATCTGTGCTCCAGGATCCAAGAGACTCTCACCATGGACATCTGCACTCTTATTTTGCCAGTCCAGTAGAGACCAGGCGGTGTGTGTGGTCTGTGCCAGTGGCCTGAGGCACGTGCCCACTCTGAGGTCGCCTGGACCCGGGCAGGGACACACAAAGCCAGAGGCCAGCACACAGCAGCCCTTGGCCGTATCCAGACCCCCAGGCCTGCTTTTGTGTGTATGCTCTGTGAGCTTAGATCACTTTTATAACTTTAAAAGATTGTAAAAACAAAGTCACTCACAAACCAATGAACAAAAATGGAAAAGAGTGCACAACAGGGACTGATGTAGCCCTGGAGCCCTGAAGTGTTGACTCTCTGGTCCTCTGTGAAAAGCATTTCACACGGCAATCTACGTGGCAAAATCAGAGGCCACGTCACCATTATAGCAATAGGCTTTCCACTCCAAGTGACACTTTATAAACTTTTTTCCCCAATACTAAGTAGATTGATCCTAGGGACTTTTCACTGAGCGACGTCCTTAATCTTTTTTTAAAAAAAATATTTCATTTTGAAACAGGGTCTTGCTAAGTTACTAAATTGCCCAGGCTGGGCTTAGATTTGTGATCCTTCTGCCTCAGCCTCCTGGATTGCTAGGATTACAAGTGTGTGCCACCATGCCCAGCTTTCCAAGTGGCGTTTCTAAAGGTGGGGGCTCTGTTTTCTGTCCGTCTGCCCCGGGAGCAATGCTGGATGCTGTGAAGGAAGGTGGGACACAGGCCATCGAGGAAAGGACCTGGGCCCACTGCTAACACACACGCACTTGCCAAAGCTCTGTGCTGAAACATGGATTGTAGAAACGCACGCTGCACATACTCATTTATAATAAATGTCAAAGCAACTGAGACTAATGACAGCTTTCTAGGCAATGAAGGGTAATCACCCAGAGTTTATCAAATATTCATTCTACCTGAGAATGCACTGAGGTTGTCTGTAATAAGGTCAAACACTGCCTTCCTCGGGAGGAAAGAAACACTCAGCCCATATATTTAAACTTTTAGTTTCATCGTGACTTTCTGAGCCCATGAATTTTGATGAGCATTAAGTAAATGGGCTCCTGCTGCCAAATTCACAAAAATAATCTTCCGCAAACAGAGGGACTATGTGCAGAGTCGGCCAAGGAGTCCCGTGGGAGGCACAAACTTGAGAAGGGACAAAATCAAAACAGAAGCTAGAAGCTCCAATGTCAAGCGTGAGTGGCTCCCTGAGCAGGACAGCTCCCAGCAGGGAAAATAAAAGCCTTGTCAGGAATGAAAATGACGTAGCAAGGGTGAAGCTCATCCCAGATTTAGGCTGTTGTAGAGCAGCAGAGGGGCTTGCATTCCAAGCCAAGCCCCTCTCCTGCTAGCAGGGTCATCTCTGCCTGTGTTTCCTCTAATGAGTTGATTACACATCCAGTACACGACGTGTGTTCTGTGAAGCTCTCAGCATGCAGCGCTTACACGTGCCCTCTGTGGTCACCAGGGAACCACAGAGTAAGCCACAGGGTCCTTGCTGCTTAGAAGGGAGACAGGCATGTGAACAAAAGGCTGGAAAGGAGACCTCTCCACATGGCCAGAGGAGGCCTCTCCGAGCAGCACAGGTCGCCTCTCCAAGGCCACGCAGAGCCGGTTCTGCACAACCCAGGGAGCAGCCTGGGCAGCAGACAGCCAAGGGGAGGAGAGGTCTGATTGCGATGTGCTTTGGTCCCTTGATCAGGTTCCGTCACATGGCAATGCTGATGAAATGTCACGCCTGTGGCTCGGCCACACTGGGAGACTCTGCCCCAGCAGCCTGGAGGGAGGCTCTTTCTCGCTGGCTCAGAGGACCTTTGCTGGCACAAGGGAGTGGGCACATGGAGGGACATGCGGCCCCTCTAGGAGTTCAGCACGGTCTCTAGCTAGCAGGTAGCAAGACAGTGGGGACCTTAGCCCTTCTGCCAAACTTTGTGAGAGCTTGAGAGAAAAGAGGAGCATGTGTTCCCAAGCAGAGTTCTCAGGAGATCTGGGCTTGCACCCTCAGCCCAAGGACATCATCACGGTAGTGGTAATTAGTTAGGCAGGAGGAAACAATTACATTGGCCAAGTGATCTTGGGCAACTTTTTCCGAGCCTCATTTTCTTTATCTTTTTACTTTTTTGGAGATAGGTCTTGCTATGCAGTTCAGCTGGCCTGGAACTCACTATGTAACCCAGGCTGGCCTCAAACTCATGGCCATCTTCCTGCCTCAGCCTCCCAAGTGCTGGGATGACAAATGTGCACCACCACTGCACTTGGCAAGGGACGTGCGGGGGCCACCATGGCTCCTCTCAGAGGAGCTCAGGAGGGCGCGGGGGCCACGTCTGGAAGGTCTAGCAGAGTGAGTCAGTTCTCTTTCCCAGGAGACTTCGGGCTGCCTCCTGTGGAGGAGGGGAGGCCTCTGAGTCCTTGAGGGAGAAGAACGCTGTGCAGGCAGAGCATCTTATCAGAGCCTTTCTTTCAACCATTTCCTCCAGCCCTATTTTCCTCGCTGATTGTATCTCAGGCCTCCAGCGTCATCCTGCTGAAAACCAGGGCTCGTGCATCCAGAAAGGGCACTGGAAACCTGACGGGGATGGGGGAGGCTGTGGCGATGTTTTCTGAGGACAGGGCTGTAATTTCAGAGCTAGGCAGGCTGACACTGCAGGGACAGAAAGTAGTCAGGAGAGGCTGCAGAACCTGGTTTCTTCCCCCACTCCAATGGAACCCAGCATAAGCCATCAGCTGGGCTACTTTAAAAGCAGATGCCAGGGAGGGCTGTGGGAACGGGTCTGCCTGCGTTCCGGTAGGGACTCCTTGGTGTTCTGTGCTGGCGATCTCCTGCAGCCCTGAAGAGAAATCAAGGGGCGGGCTGGCAGGGTTAAGTGTCTGCTTTACAGCTGAAAAGTTGGCCCTTGTGGAGATGGCATGAGGTGTGGTACCTAGGGGGTGGGAGGTGGAGGGAGAAGGATGAGAGAGTCCCAGACCTGGAGGCCTCTTGCAGGCCGAGTGGTGACAAAGGCACACAGCCCGCTCCGAGCCTCAGCTGACAACACCCGCTCTAGGGGTTTGCAGTGAGGATTCACTGAGACACTTCTTATGCTTCTTACGACAGTGACCGGCCCAGGGCCAGGCACAGTGGAGGCAGGGCTTGTGTTGCTGCCGGAAGTGGCAGACGCTGGTCAGTGCTGGGGTCCAGCCAAGGGTGTGGACAAAGGGAAGGGCGGCCAGGTGCACTCACTGGGGCTGGGGCAGTGATTTCAGGTTGCCCTTGGCTGACCTCTGGCTTGGTTGGCCAGAGGGGGACAAGCTGACGAGGGACAAGAGCTAATGCACTGGGTTCTCACGTCTTGGAATCGCACTACACTGGCATGCGTGATAACAGTGAAGAAAGCAGATAGCATCACCACTCATGGTCATTGTTCCGCTCCTCTCTCTCCTGTGTCCCATGGAGGGAAGGGACCGGGTGCAGGGCACAGACCCCAGCATGACGCCGCCATGTTCCCAGCAGTGCTGGTGATGTTGGCATCGTACTGGCTGCCACCTGAGCACATTTGATGGTGCATAGTGGGCTGCGTGGCACTGCACAGTGGGGACGTCTTATATGTCACCTCTCCCGGCCCCGACACGTCTTTCAGAGGAGGTAGGTACTTTATGGGTGAAGGAAGAACTATTCACAGAACGTCAAGGAGGTGCCAGCTTCCCCTTGAGACTTGTCGGAGATCGAATGTTTGCAGAGATCTGACCTCTTCCCAAGTTTCCATCAGTGTTCTCCAGTTTATGTGAACAGGTGGTGGGGAGATAAAAGGATTAAGATTCCCAGAACTCTAAAGTAAGCACTCATAATTTAAGTAGCATGCTTACAAGAAATGTGTTCTTTTAAAAACTTACTTTATTCACTTTCCAGTCTGCTTTTTATTTATTACAACCCCTCCATGTAACGCTGCATTTCTTTTTTAATATGACTCAAACGGCTTTAGAAAACATGAAGTTGACCCTGTCTGTCCTCCACAGAATGCCCCTTAGTGGCTTCTGGTGCCCACTGCAATTTTGTGTTTCAAAAAAAAAAAAAAACACCACAAGAAAAAACTTCAGAAGGTGAAAGTGTCTGCTGGGATGTATTTGTCAACTTCTAAATCTGTTGGCTAAGGACAAACACTCCCATCCTTCGTGGACAAAATGGTCGTGACTTTATCGAGAGCCAGGGAAGCAATTTTTGAAATGTGCACGCAGCCTGCTGGGCCAGTTCTGAGCTGCTTCCAGGGTAAGCCCCGTGCTGCACACTTGGCTCTCCTGGTGTCTCTCCAGCCAAGACAGACATCAGCAGGGTGGCCCTGGTCAAGTTGGCCCCACCGCTGTGCACTCCATGTGGGGCCCGGTGTAGACTCCGTCTCTAAGGCCACTGCATTCGGCTGGTCTCCCAGCGCGTCTCCCAGACACTTGGAGGCTGGTAGGATTTGCAGACGTGTCCGCGGAGGCATGGGGCCCCATGAGCTCCTCCACGGTGAGTGGGTACAGCCGTGCTCCTGTCCAGGCACAGTGGGGGGTCGCCTTCCGGAGCGCCCTGGAGGCGCAGCTCGGTGTGATGATGTCTGGCTAGCCGCGCTTAGAAGGCCACACTGCACCCATCGGTCGGTCCGAAAGCTGGCCTGCTCTCCTGGACGCAAACTCCTCCAGGCAGGAACCGCTGAAGCCGCAGAGGAAAATGGCAGAGGAGGAAGCTTGCTGCGCGCCCTGCAGCGGCTACAAGACAGCTGTGTTGATTAGGGAAATTTGCTTCAGACCCT